TGTGATTGTATGATCCAACAAATGATTAAGTGTGTATTCGATGAGTTTGGTAGAATCACAGTGCCACAAAATTATGGTGGCATTGTGATTGTGAAATCAAGGTTGATTCCCAATATGCACTAAACATATGTTATTCTAGTATCTTGCATTGTATTTTTCTTCTTCTTTTCATAATAGTATGAATGACTTTCACTTCACCAAATATTTGACATACATAATTTGAATTTTATGGCACTGGTACTCAGTCTTTTTGTTGTTACATCTATCATTAAGCTTATTGCTCACTTTTATTTTCTATTGTCTCTTAAATTGGATCTTTTGCCTTTTCACCAGTTCCAGGAATTGAATAGGCTTTAAAGTAATGATATAAAAAAACATTGGATAAAATGAAGTTATGTATGAAAAAGTCATTATGAATAATTACCATTTTCCCTTGCTTAAACCATTCATCACTTGGATTTTTTAAAACCATTTATGTATGTTGTTGATTATTGCTTAGCGTTTTTACTTTTCCTTGAGTGGGCCAAGACATGTTGACAACATTTGATGCTACTCATCAACTTAAACTTGCATTGCTTGGAAAATCTTAGATTGTTATCCTATACCTGCATTTGTAGATTCTATATATGGACTATGTTGAGAGACTGCAGAGGTTTTATAATCATTCATTACGTCTGTAAAATCAACAAATAAGTTAGTTGCTGAGCTCGACAACAATGGTCAAAGTTGGATCCAAATTTATGGAGTTGTTCATAATTTTCAAGCATCTCGAGGTAAATGCTTGTAGCCATTACTCTAGCACTAGTGGGTGTTGCTTTAAAAAAGCTACTGTTTCTTTGAGAAAATTATTATTATATATATGAATGTGTTGGAGGTAGTTTGTTTTGTCTATAACGTCTCCTAACATGGTTTAGCTTAACTGGTTTCTTTGGTTTTTGTTACCAATTTAGAAATCAACATGTTCTTGAGAGTACAATTGAAATTGAGTGGTTCCATTTCCTGTTTAGACTTTAATTATATCATATGAAGTTGCTTATGTAAGTAATTTCAGAGTTAATGATTTGTGTGGCTGAATATGCTTCAGATTAACTTGGTTTATTTTTTAATTGTTTGGGGATTTCATAATCTTCATAATTAAATTTTTTTTTTTACCAGTGTTATTGACTTTAAGTGACGTGACGTGTAATATTGTTAAATATAATTCATTTATTAGAAGTTGCATTTTTTTAGAAGTGGCGTTAGTATATAAACTAATGACCTTAATTGTAAAAACTACTAATTTTCATTTCTACAATTTGAGAAGTTAGTTGTAAAAGTTAGTTACAATTTTTTTCTCTCTTCTTCTATTTCCATCTTCTTCATCTTGTGCACCAATAATTAATATCTAAATTTTTGGTTCGATTCACAAGGAAACACGAGTGTACGTGAGGTGTATGTGATTGATTTCGTTTCTTAAATTCGCGTTAAATTTAAGATCGAAATCAGAACATAATCACATTTCTTGATTCTGCAGAATTGAGAAACACGAGTGTTGGTGAAATCTGAGTAAATTTGCACAAGAATGAAGATGAACAACAGAAATGTTAGCTTGAACACAAAGCTTCCAATATTTGATGGAAAGAACTAGAATCGGTGGATGATTCAGATGTGTGTGTTGTTTGGCGCTCAAGATATTTTTGATCTTGTCAATGATGGTTACACGTCGGTTTCAACATATGCAACTGAAGCCAAACAGAAACGAGGAAGAAGGATCATAAGGCGTTGTTCTATATCCATCAGTGTATGGATACAAATGTGTTTGAAAAGATCGTTAATTCAACAACGGTGAAGGCTGCATGAGACACACTGGTATGGTGCTACGACAGTGACGCATCAATGAAGAAGGTGAAACTTCAGAGTCTACATAAACAGTGTGAGAATCTCAACATGAAGAATAACGAGAAAGTATCATATTACATCTCTAGAGTGATTGTGGTCACCAATGAGATAAAGTCTTATGGAGAAACGCTCTCTGAACAAGTTATTATTGAAAAGGTACTCAGATTCCTTACACTTCAATTTGATTACATTGTTGTAGCAAATGAACATTCTAAGAACCTAAGCACTATGAGAGTTGAAGAGCTGCAGAGTAGTCTAGAGGTACAAGAGTTGCGTATGACTAAGAGAAACTCTGAAAGAGAGATAAAGTAGGCTCTGAAAGCGTCTTCTGGTAAGAAGAATCAGAAACAGTCTTGGTCAGAGGCCAAGAAGAGACATGGTTTCTCAGAAGTTAGAAGCCTCCAACTCTGATGATAAGAAACATCAGAAGGGAAAAGAGAAGTGTGACAAGAGAAAGGTTCAGTGTTACAACTGTAATAGGTTTGGTCATTTTGCTAAGATTGTTGGTCAAACAAGGAAAGGAAGTCTGAAGAAGAAAACATAGCCAGATGAGATTGTGATGAAAAACCTATGATATTGATGGCTTCTGAACCTGATGGTGGATATTTGGTAGACTGGTGGTATATGGACATTGGCTGCTCAAATCACCTAACTGGAACAAACAACGACTGATTGATTTTGACTCTAGAAAGAGGACAAAGATCATATGTGTTGATGATAAGTACCTTAATGCTTAAGGAATGGGAAATGTCAATGTCAAAGTGAAGAATGGAAAAATAGTTTTGATCAAGGATGTTTGGTATGTTCCTGGTATGAAGAGCAATTTGATGAGTGATGAGTATAGGTTAACTCATTGAGAAAGGTTTCTCAGTAACTATGAAGAAAAATCTTTTGAAGTTGTATGATTCTGATCAGAAGCTGATTATGCAATATGAGCAGGAAAACAACAGAACATTCAAGGTGAATGTAGAGACAACTGAAACTAAATGTCTTAGTGCATAAGGTGATAAAGGTGACAATGAGTTGTGGCATAAGAGATTGGGGCTTTGAACTTCAGAAGCTTATGACATATGAGTTCTAAGAAGCTGGTACATGGCATTCCTAAGATTTTGGAGCCTGAGGAGTCATGTGAGATATGAATGAAAGACAAGTAACTTAGATTGCCATTTGCATCAGAAGTGGCTCCAAGAGAAAAACATAATTTGGAGTAGTGTATTCTAATGTATGTTGGCCATTTGAAGTATCTTCCCTTAGAGGAAACAAGTACTTTGTGTATTTTGTGGATGAGTTCACAAGATTGACATGGGTAGCACTCATCAAATTTAAGCATGAGGTGTTTGATGAGTTTCAAAATTTTAAAGTGAAGGATGAAAATAGAGTGGTCAGAAGTTGAAAGTTCTCAGAACTGATGGTGGAGGTGAGTACAACTCTACATAGTTCAAGAAGCTCTGTGAGGAGAATGAAATTGAGCATGAGGTTATTGTTCCATATAATTCTCAACACAATGGCCTTGCTGAAAGAAGAAATAGAACTTCACTTAATTTGACAAGGAGCATGCTGAAAAAGAAGAAGCTTCCTCACACTTTATGGGGAGAAGTTGTTATCAATGCAGCATATGTGCTCAATAGGTGTTCAACCAAGAAACTGAAGGAAACTATTCCTTTTGAGAAGTGGACTAGAGGTAAGCAAAATGTGTTTCATTTCAGAGTATTTTGTTTTGTTTGTTACAAACATGTTCCATGTGCTACTAGAAAGAAGTTGAATAATAGAAGCAACGTAATGTTATTGATAGGTGCTTATAAGATTTATTATTCAGACACTAACAAAGTTGAAGTCAGCAGAGATGTCATTGTGAAGGAAGAATGAATGTGGGATTGAAGCAAGTCTCAATCTAACTCTGGTGCACTATTGATAGCTGAGTTAAATTTTGAAGGTATTTCTAACTCAGAGATTATACATTTAAAGATGAGTCAGAGTCTGAAGATGATTCTAAAGCTGAAGGAGAGTCTGGATCTGAAGGTGAATCTGATTCTGATCTAGATTCTGATGATGATCCAAACTCTGGTGGTAATCCAATCTTTGACGGTGGTCGTGCTTCTATAGGTGATCCAACTTCTGAAGGTAGTCAAACATCTGATATTGTTCCAATATCTGAAGAAGATTATGAACAAGCTCAGAGGCAACAAGGAATCAGACAAATACCAAGAAGATTTGCAGAGTTTGACATGTTGCAAGATACTGAGATAGACTCTGAATGAGAAGTGATTCAGTGTGCCATGTTACTAGACTTTGAACCAGTGAGTAGTAAAGACGCTCTCAAGAAGAAAGTGTGGCTGAAGTTCATGAAATAATAACTTGAGGCTATAGAAAGAAAAAAATACTTGGGAGTTGACCGAGCTTCCAAAGGAGAAGAAAGCCATTTGTGTCAGATGGTTTTTCAAGATAAAGCTAAACCCAGATGGATCAATAGGCAAACCCAAAGCAAGGTTAGTAGCTAAAGGATTTCTATAGAAATCTGGATCAGATTACTTTGAGGTGTTTACACTTGTAGCTAGACATGAAACAACCAAATTGGTGATTGCTTTTGGAGGGATGGTGTATAAGTTGCATAAAGCCTTTAATGGACTGAAATAAGCTCTTAGAGCTTAGAATATGAAAATTGATTCATTTTTCAAGCTTCAAGGATTCAGAAAATGTGAGATAGAGTATGGAGTTTATGTTCAACATACCTCTGAAAGCAATATGATACTGGTGTGTCTCTATGTTGATGACATATTGCTAACATGGGACTATTCAAAAGAGAAAGGAATTTGGGAGAACTTGACACTTTCATTCGAAGATTCACGATACGAAGATTGACACATTTATTCAAGTATATCCGAAGTTTAAAATGAAGTTTAAAAAAAACAAATACTTCATTCAAAAACATTCAAAGTTATATGTTCATTACAAGGGAAAAGTACGGAGCTATTACAAGATTCAAATGCGATGTCATTCCAAAGTCATTCTTTATATTAAGATTATAAATACATTACCGTCATTACAAAAATTAACATAGAAACTTTACAAAGAAACAAATTGCAAGAAAAAGCTAATTCTAAACTCCACCCCTTCTTCATACTTCAAAGCCTTTCATAATGCATTCTCTTCAAAGTGGCTTTAGGAATAAACCTTGCATCCCTGCAACCTTGCCTCATGTCCAGACCTGTGACCAAACATCCAATACGAGGCTCCGATGCTGAGAGGGTCCTACTGTACACACAAAAGAGTAGTTCAGCAAACCATAAATCCGCCGTCAAAGCAAACAGAGCAGCCGTTACATAATTATATTGCAATAACAGAACATTCCTAAGTCAGTACACAAGGCTAAATTTGAAAATCAATATATTGCTTACTATGTATAGCTACGTCCATCTGTACACTATGCGTCGACTCACAATTGGCCATACAAGCATGCTTCCTATAGGTTATCATAACTACCAGGTCTGGTCACTTCTTAACCTCCTGACCTGCACTCAAATAGAAAGAAAAAAACAGAAAGAGAGGGAATTGTGAGTTCAAAATTCAGAAATTAGAAACAGCTAAATTCGGAGAATTAAATCATAACTCGGGAAACAGAAAATAGCAGAACAAAGAGGCAAAAACAATTTAGCTAATAACAGAAAAAACAATTAACTAACTTGTAACAGAATTTATGAGATCCAAATTTCCTCTAACCTCCTAACTGTTTCTAACAGAATTATAACTACCTCCTAATCAACTATCCAACTAACTGTCATAACAGAGTTTCCAGCTCACCAACATTCAAACTAACTAGTAATCGCCCAATCCTAACCATTCAAGATCCCTAACCAAATATGTATCCAATGATCCAAATGAGCCAAGCTACAACTGATTTCAGATCTGCATCCGCCTATGTAACAAAATATAACAGAATGGAGGGGGAATAATTCAGTCAACACTTTCACAGAAAAAAGTCACAGAAAAATCAGATAGAAGACTCACCAAAAAGAATTATCTCTCTCTGAACCACATTGAGATCTTCATCAACAACTCGCAACAATCTTCATTTGTATCAACATACGATTCAATCTTTATCTTGATGCTCCTGCATAATCTTCATCAACCAGCAGCCTCAACAAACTTTTATTCTCTAAAACAATCTTCTCTACACTTACCTTCGCATCTTCAACAAACTTTTATCCTCTAAAACAATATTCTCTACACTTACCTTCGCATCTTCAATGACGTCACCAATTTGCGTCACCAATTTGCAAATGCGTCACAACTTTGCATCGCAACTTTGTACCGTAATTGCATCGTAACTGCATCACAGTATTCTGTGATCATCATCAATTTCTATGAAAACGGAATTCGTAACAGAATCAACAACAACAAGGAACTCACGGAAAGAAAACGTGTAGAAGAAAAGATGAAGAGAAGTAGAATCGAGGAAATAAGGAAATCGCGTACCTGGAATTTACTGGACTTCTCATCACCTTCTCGTCTCTGGTGTGAAGAACCGCCAACGTCACTCTGGTCGGTAAGCTTTTCCTCATTCTTCTGTCTATGTTTCCGTCTGGTTTTTGAGCATAGAGATGGAACCGCAATACACAAGCTTTAAGGTGAGAGCGAGACGGAGGGATGATTGAGGACGAAGGTTTTCGGATGTCTATTTGAAGGTAAGCGAACGATGATGATGAATGGTTATGGAGACGCCATTCAAAGAAGGGCGGAAGGTGATGAAAAGAAAACGGAGAAGAAGGCGGAGAAGATCGAACAAGATTAAGTGGAAGATGTGCCACGGTTGGAGAGAAGGGGAGAATTTTCTGTTTTTCGAAGGGAGACGAAGGGTCACACCCAACCCTAATTACACGTACACCTCTCTCTTCATTTTTCCTTTTTATTTTTCTCTGTTATTATTTTCTTTTTAGACTAAGAATTGAGATAATAGAATGTAGAAGAAAAGGATTGTATCGTTAGTGGTAATAACTGTTGGACTGAGGCACTATTCGCAGAGCCCAACGTGCATGTTTTTGAACTAAGATAGCTACCAAAAATGATTGTTGAACTCATACCCCTTGGGCCATTCATTGCTTGCACCATCCGGCCGGCCCATTACATTGTTTTTTTGTACACTTGGAGCTTTACAACAAAAACCTCTTCTTGGATTTGCATTCAGTGGGCCTAGAGCCTGAATCTTTCTTCTGCACACTGCCTAGATTCAACATACACCCTCCCTTTAGTTTAATTTTCTTTTTTAGATTTTCGTTACATTTTCCTTATTTTTTGTTATAGATTGTTGATAAAAAAAATTACAAAATTAATAAGACTTGTTAGTTTTTTTAGTGATTAGGAAATAATTCTCTAGTTTTTGGTAGGTTTTTTCCATGATAAAAACAATAAAGAATAGTGGAATATAATAAAAAATTTCTACAAATTTCTTAGTTTTCGATAGATTTTTACTCACATAAAAACTAATAAAAAATACTTTTTCTTTTAGTTTTTTATTACTATTTTCATACCGCTTTGTCTTGTTATTGTTGACGCGTTTGTTCATTATGCAAGGTACATTTTTGTTACTTTCGATCATGCAACATAACAGGTTATTATGTGATCGAAGCATATGGCTTATGTTCGCTTCCGATGCAACACACCTTATTTCTCATCGTCCTGAGAAATTCATATCATATTATATGTTATCCAGATGCATGTGATATTTTATGATGCTTTGTGCAGGAACTTCTGATTACGCGTTGCATTCGTAATACGCGTTTACTTTTATCTTAGTTGTATATCGTTTCAGACTTTATTTGTTTCTTGGTGAAGCTTGCTCAACGCGTACTCCTTGCTTTTCCATCGCTTTCGTCCACTTTCGACGATTTTCTTCTTTGGTAGTCGCCGCTATTATTTTTATATTTCTCCTCACTTTACCGCATTTCTTTACCGCTTTTCTAGAGACCATGAGAAGTATGGCTTTAATGATTTCCGATGCCATGAGAAGTAGGGTAGAGATGGGTGAAGGGGATCTCCGTTGCTGATCATGTCAGGAACCACTATGGTCTATTTAAAGACCCGTCTAGGGCAATTCCGCATTATGTGCATTCTATATGCTATTTGTGTTTGTTTAAAACCCTACCTTTGAAGTAGGTATTTCACACGTGTGTTTACATTTGTGCATGCAATATTCCCCCATTCATTATTGAAGTCCTCAGGCGAGCAGAAAGGGTTCGCAATCAAACCCCATAATTTTGTTTGTGTCATCTTTAACTCATGATGTACCATGATGCTTCAGAGTTGTGCCTACTCTTGTTATCGAGTCGTCAAGTGGAAAAGGGTTCCACAATCAAACCCCCACACTTTGTCAGGAGTTCACATTACCCGATGCTGACACTTCGTGATTGTTCATATTGCCTTCTGTCGCCTACCTCGATCTCCTATATCTTGGTTAGGTGTTCAGTCGCTTAGGACATCACATTTTTGTTTTACATCTTATTCCCGCTTGTTTGCTTCGGATGATCCGCTCCCCTTAGCTAAAGCATTTCTCTTATTTTATTTTTCACTCCCGCTTGTTTGTCTCGGGTTATACGCTCCCCTTAACTAAAGCATTTCGCTTCTTTTCCTTACCATTTTATGTGTGTGCTCCTTCAAGCTTGCTTGTTTTATCCTTGTACATACCATGTTTCCTTAGGATGTGTTTGCTCCTTTCGGATGCAAGTTAGACCTTAGGTGGGAAGCCATGCATGCTAACATTAGGTAGACATTTCCCTTATGTTAATTTAAACCTTAGGACCACCATTGTATGATAACATTAGGATTAGAAATAGGCTAGTCTCCCATAAACTCTTTTCTTCCCGTTTTTGCATATGCATTTAAAACTAAAACTTTCTTTTTTCTTAGCAAATCATAAAAATGATAATCACACTTAAACCCTTTTTCAAGGTAACAAACCAAAAACCAATCAAATGTGGCATCTTGCCTTGATGGCGTAAATCAAAACCATTTTCATGTAAGGACATGTTAATTTACTTATGTGCCAACGCGTGAGTCTCCAAAGGTCGAGCTGCGGCAGAAGGCAGAATTAACATTGTTCATAAAAAACACAAATCGAACAAAAACATGTGAGCCGAACTATGGTAAATCTGATTCCTCAAAAAGGATACGTAGGCATTGGGGTAGGGCCCAAGCGAGTACAAATTTGTTTTCCGTACATTATTTTCTCAGTAGTAAGCAGTAAGCATAAATTAAACACACCATTTGATTAGAACAACAAGAGTGGATACCATAGAGTACTGCGGGCGTGTGGAGTGCTAATACCTTCCCCTCGCATAACAGACATCCTTACCCGATCTCTCGGTCGCAAGACCGTGACTTCTCCCTTCTCAAGTTTTCTCGATGTTTACCTTACCATTCATATAAGATAAAATACGTTTGATGGTGACTTTATCATTTGATGATTTTTAGCTGGTTTTTTCAGCTGGTGACTTCAGTGGGGACATATCGACCAATTGCTGGTCCATCCCAAAGTCATTTCTAGCTCGTGTTTCCTTTTCTTTGGGTGTTTATTTTTATGCTTTCAGTTTATTCATCCATACATGATTACATGAGCATATGTATGCATTACATTTTACTATTTTCCATATACTATTGTTGTATTGTTTATACTTCTTGTTGGGTGGGTGTTACTATGAGGTAAAAGGCCCAGTACCCAGGCTAGAGTGCACTATTTAGGAAACCTAGGAATAAAGTAGAACATGACGACTATTAGATGAAGGTCCTACCAGCGCGGTCATATCATTTACGCTCAGATGAGGTTCAAATGGAGTGTTATCGTCATTGTTGTACCCCAAAATTTTCCCTCATTTTACTCAATACATGCCCATTGAGGTCCTTAACTTGCTCAAGGATGCCCAAGAGGTGACCAGACAAACTCTCTCCTAAGACAATGTACCTCAAACTAGGGTTTCCATTTTTATCAAGATGTGTGAACTCCAGAGGTCCCAAATGCCTTCTGTGGTCCCAATATGTTCTCAAGATCATCCATGTCAAATTTCAAGCCTTGCACAAGAAGTTTGCTCAGTCAATTGCTCAGATGCTTGAGAATCGACTATATTAGGTCAAAAGTCAATTGTGGCCCACATATAGTCAAACTTCAAGATTTTTGGTCAAAATTAACATTTTTAGGTGATATTCATCATTTGATCAAGGGTTGATCATGATTCCTCAAGGAATGCTCCTAATTCATCAAAACTCAAGAGTTGCTAAATTAGGGTTTCTTAGGAAAAGTCAACTAAACTTTGACCAAGCATAACTTTTTCATACTTTATCAGAAATTTCTCATCCAAAGCTCATTTTGAAGGGAAACCAATTTCCTACCACTCATCTTCATCCCTCAAGTTCAATAAGTGAACTCATAAAAAGATATGAATTTCTACATTATAGGTCCTTTTGAAAAGTCAACAAAAACACCTTTTGGGTCAAAGCTTCTTACATGAACATGGAAAACTCAATTGAGATGAGACCAAAAGGATTGTTTAAGGGACATCTTAAGATTTCTAAAAAGTCCAAGAACATCTCTTTATGGTCAAAATTGGAAGAGTTGTGCATTGTCAACGTTGACCATTTTTGGAAAATTGCCAAAAGTCAAATGTGCTCACAAATGCATTTTTTGCCAAGTGGGCCCAACTTTTTAAGCTTGCATTACGCTTCCAACATGATTCACAACCCAAACACTCTACCATATATTATTGACTTTATTTATTTAATTTATTTGATTTTTTATCATTTAAAAGTCAAATTAAATCAAATAAATGATATAAAATATGGAAGATTTGTTTTTGATCTGATTTTGAATGGAATTATAATGCAAATATGCTGTCAAACCAAATCAAATCGTTCCAAGGATAATTGGAATGAAAATGGTATGATTTAGCTTGATATAGAAATAAATAATGCAAAGATGGAATCAAATCAAATCTTAATAATTGGCAAAGATGTACATGTTTTTTGTTAACCTAATGTAGTCTAATACATATACACAACAAATTCAAGGCAGGAGGAGGCCGAAAAATCGTGTGAAACGGCCAAGAACATAGTGCATTTTTGTCAAAAAAATCTCATACCAAATTCCATACCACAGCCATCCTCAAGGAGATTTAAGGGTTGCAACACATTCCTGGCAATCTCCTGAAGCCAACTGCACCCTTTGCACGCACCAAAGCGCCTTGAATCGTAAAACCCACAACCCTGTTATTCCATTATTTTTTATTTTTGATTACGTGCATACGTGCTCTTTTGATATAATTCAATCATATGTTCTTTTTTATTACAATGTCTCGATCCTTGCTGGATCATTTAATTGAGTTTTAAGTGCAGGAATTACGGTTTGCCATTATTAGGGTTTCTGAGTTCGTTTTAGGGCTTCCTTCCACAGGAAAAATTAGGGCTAGACATGGACACTATGATGTTCAGGGCTTCAAGCCCAGTTGATTCATGGTCTTCAATGAAATTTATATTGCTTGTGCTAGATTTTTGAATAACACAGGGTTGTAGTTACGGGCATGAGATCGTAGGTAAAAGTCCCTAGGCTAAGACGACAGCCAGCGGAGGAAGACGAAGGTGTGGCACGATCTGGTTGGCTCATTTGAAATTTCGCGCTTTTTCATTAACACTGGCTTTCTTTTACATATAATATATTATTATTGTTATATACATGAATGACTTGTCAGCTCAGTTAGTGGTGATGCGCGTTGGTAAAGGAGAGGACCTGGGTTCGAATCCCAGGTCAAGTGTTTTTCTATTTTCCAAATGAATTCTTGTGGATTCAATGCTTGCAGGCCACAGAGGTACACCATAGAACTTCACACCACCATCATCAGATCTCATCACATCCAGATCCAACGTCCCATAGGCGCAGGCATACCATGGATCATCAGTAGACCGACACACTGGATCTGGCACATGTTGGGCTCAGAAAAGTGGGCATGAACAAAAATTCAGCAAACGTCCCTCCAATTTGGGTTTTACACCCCAGGCCCATTTTTCTAACCTTTTCATTTTCCTTTTTTTAATTAATTTTTTTTATTCATTATTTAATTTAATTATCTTTTAATCAATTTT